GGGGCAAAAACCTCACCCATGTTGACCCCCAGCTCTGGAATCAGCCAAAAAAAGGCAGCATCAGCCTCTGGGTGCTTTTTCCCTGGGAGCTGTGCTCCAGAGAGGTGGCCTGTCCCCACTCTGGGATGGGGAAGGCAGCAGGAGCTGTGTGAAAACACTCTCCCAGCAGCCAGAGCAGCTAGCTGGCCAAGGGCCTGTTCCAAAAAAAGGAATTAAGTACTTAGGAAGGACTTAGGTAGGCCTGAGTTGACTAAGTGAAAAACTATTCTGCAGAAAATCCCTGCCCAGCTCCTGTTTGGTGCTGGAATGTGTACAGGTGTCTTCATCCCTGACCCTCACCCTGCTGGATGCCCAGGAGCTCTGTGTTCAGGCATGCCACAAAACACCTCATGGATTAATTGATCTTGTGTCTAAGCAGGAAGAGCCAAAAAATGAGGCATTCTTTGGCTTGTTTTCAACCTTCTCCCAGCACATCCCCTACTCTCCTTCTGCACCTCCCTCCTGCTCCTCAAACCCTGTGGCTGCTGCCACTTGTGTTCCCAAATCTGATCCTTGGAGGTGAAGTGAGACTCCTCCTTGAGTGTGAGGCTTTGTTCCCACATTTCTGACTGATAAGGAGCTGGGAAGATGAGGAATGGAGACCTGACACTAAATGAAGCTTTGCAAAGTTTGAAACCACTGAAAACAGAGATGTTGCTGCCTGTGGCAGGGGGTTGGAACGAGATGAACTTTAAGGTCCCTTCCAACCCAAACCCTTCTGTGATTCTCTGATGTGATGGAGAGGTCAGGAACAAGTGGTGTGAACCTACAGGGAGCTTTTTGCTGAAAATAAAGCATTATGCAGTCAGCTACACTCTTCTCTTGGGGTGGGATAAGCACTCCTGGTTTGGATCTTTGGATTCACATAGAGTGGGGAGAAGAATGAGATACAAAACAAAATGAGGGAAAGCAGGATAGTGAGTGATACCCTTGGGGTAAAGAGAAATACCTCCAGGGAGAAAGAATGGCAGGATTTAGCTGTTGGAAGTCCCCAAGGTCATCCTGGAAGGGGAGAGTGAAGAAATAGTGGCAGTGACTGCAAAACAGGACAACAGTTGGTATTAAACTCTCTGAAAGTTTAGTCCTGGCTTTGTAGTGGCTGCTAAGCTCAACTGGGATAGGGAATAACATCTGTATTAGTTCCTTCTCTGTGCTGAGATGTTTGATGTTCCCACAGCAGCCCGAGATGTAACTGGAAGTGGAAGTGCAGGGTATGAACTCAATAAGCAAAATACAACAATAAATGTCCCTTTCAGCCTTGCAGAGCAGCTCTGGCACCCAACTTCCCAGAAACAGAGAGGGCAAGATCCCAGGAGTCTGTTCAGACTTGTCTGTGTAGAAAGAGCCAGGGATGGTTTGCACAGCAAGAATGAGGAAAGGGTTTGTGGGTGGGAAGAGCATCACAGCACAGGCAGGTTCTAAATGCCTAGCTGTGCTCTCCCAGTGTTTGAAAAGACTTTGGAGCAACAATGTGCCAGCCAGGGAGACATTTTAAAGTATTTTGTACTGCCCTGCTGAAGAAAAACAATTCATAAAAGAATTTAAAAAGCAGGACAGGTTTCTGGGGAACTTTTTCTTTTCTTTTTTTTTTTTTTCCTGATGTGCATAACCATAGAGGAAAAGCAGGACAGGTTTCTGGGGAACTTTTTCTTTTCTTTTTTTTTTCCCAGCTGTGCATAACCATAGAGTTGTTTTTTTTTTTCCAATTGAGCACAAAAAGGAGAGTTTTGTAATGTGAGGAGTTTATTAATTTCTTCCTGAAAGAACACTTTTGTGTACTTGAATGATGTGCATGGCCAAGACCCTGCTCATCCCCAGAGCCCAGGGCAGAGGCTGGAGGGCAGGATTTTGGGAGGGTGGATGCTCACTTGCAGTGTATTAACTGCTCACACCCTTGCAGGATGTGCTTTTTCTCTCCTTGGAGGCCTTGGGAATCACTGGGAGCTTCTCCATTAATTTAATAAGCTTTGAGTAATCTTTTGCCTCCATTCTGCCTTCTTGGTTGTTTTCCTATTTCTTTGCATCATTGTAGTCCCAAAGGCTCCTCTGTGTTAATCCACAATTACTGCAAAGCCTTGCACCCTGTCCTGGGGAACAACAACATTCCTGGACAAATCTCCCTCAGAAACAACACACATGAGACTTCTCCAGCTTTACTCCCTCTTCCATGCCCAGCAGGTAGAGACAGATGGGTTTGGGTTTTTGCTTCCTTACACTGCTCTGTGAATGGTTGTTGCCCTGGCCCTGCTGTGAGTGATGTAAAACCCATCTCTGGCTTTAGCAGTGCACCTCTGAGCCCTCCCTGTGCTGGCCCAGGACGTGTCCCTGCTTTCAGCTGCTCCTGGTACCCAAACTGGGAAGAGTGACCACTCCCAGGGCTGCCCTGTGCTGATGGTGGCAGCTGAAGGCAAACTTTGGGAGCTGATTTTGACTTGAGAGTGCATTTACGGTTCTCTCGCCTCAGTCTTTTTGTGATAAAAGCCAAAAATATGTAAGTTCAGCTTTTCAAGCTTGCCTGTCACCACTCCCTGGTGTGTCCTAGCACTGAAGGGCTCCTTTTGGAACCCAGGCTAGCAGCGTCCAGCTGTGTGGCTGTGCCAGAGGCAAAGCACCCTTTTCCAGCCTCTCCTCCCCTCCCTCCACTCCTGTGAATTCCACAGCTGAGCCATGGGGAGGATTTTGCTGGTTGACAGTTGTACAGCATAACCTGGTGCACAGCCCAGAGGGAGGAGGATGTTCATGCTACGCAGAGCACTGAGAATTCAGGAGGCACTTTTGTAACCTACTGAACCACATCAGACCTAGGAAAGATCTGAAGATTATGCAGCCCTCCTCAATGTTTTCTTTCCTCACCCCTGGCTTGTCATTTTTTTTCCTTGCCAAGCCTGCTAATGGTTTTTTTGTGCTGCTTGAAAAAACAGCTCAAGTTCTGCCCCCGTATCGGAGTGGCAGCGAAGCATGCGTGAGGATTTGCTCCAGTGGCAAAGCCACATCTGATTGAGGGGGAAAAAAAAAAAGGAAAACAGCTGAGGCCCTTCGAACAAGTCATGCTCCTGTAGGCTTTTAATCACTTGTGTCTGCCAAGAGAGATCTTGCACAAGCAAAGCTGGCTCCATGCAAGAGGAACATTTTTGCGTGTGTGCAGGCTGGCTCCCTGATAATGTGCTCCCTGGAAGCAGTGGCAGTGTGCTGGTTAGACCCCTGGCTGCTGGAATTACCTTAAGGTCAAGGTGTTCATGCTTGGTGGCTTGGTATGTAGCTCTGTGTTTTATTGACTTTGTCTGCGCTGAACTGCTGAACTTGGAGGCTCCTTTGGCTGCTCCAAAAGGGCTGTGAGGAGAAGAGGTAATTCAGAAGATTTTAGAATGCTAAACAAGCCTGAGACAATTTCATTTTCTTCCCTCTTGAAGTGTGTTTCCTTAACTCTGCTTCAGCTCAGTTTTATTTGCAGCTCCACTTTGATTTATAGCAATAAAAAGTAATTTATCAGTGTAAAATCAGTTAGGGAACAGACAGAAGTTGTTCTTTTAATTTAAAAATGTTTATTACTCTTATTATTTAAGCTTGTTTGCTCATATTAACTTACTGTGGTAGATGTGCTTTGTGATTTAGAGTGAGCATAAACCAAGCAAGCCAAAGTGTTTTGGCTGGGGTTGATTCTCAGGGCAGAGAGTGTGAGGTACCTCTGTAAGATGGGAAATAGCAATGCAGGTGCTATAATGTGGTTTTTTTACACATACAGACACCCATAAATAATTTATTTTGGGATATTATAGTGGTCACTTCACTCAGGAAGCAGTGGGCAAGTGGGGGCAGGAGAGAATCCTCATCTGAAGTCCTTTTTTTCTTTTTTCTACTGATGGTTTCATCAGAGTTTCTTCCCCCAAGTGATTGCTGCTGGCTGCTGCCAGTGATAAGGGAGGCAGCGTGACAGATCCTCTCTTTCCATGTCACTGTGGCAGAGAAGGGAAGTATTTCTGCAGGGAAAGGAAACCAAGAGGAATTTCCCTGGGGAGGAAAAGAGCACTAGAGGAATTCAGGATCATGCAGGAAAGAGTGATGTGAGAGAAAAAAAAAAGAAAATAGGAAGCAAATCAACACAAAAAATACCCTGCCACCAAAAAAAGCACCAGGATTTGGCTGGGATCCATTTCAGGAAGTGGCTGTAAAGCTGAGTAACTTTGTCACAAATCAAGGGAGGACACAAAAGATGATGAGGGAGCTCTGAAAAGCCTCATTCACCTATGGCAGGCTCCAAAATTTCCCTCTCTGCCACATGTGGGATCAATGTTACACATGGGACAGGGAAGATGGGCAGTGAGGAACAGCCTTGGAGCAGCCTGGAGTGTTCCTGACTTGTCCAGGGCTGCACCAAAACTTCACTTCTCAGCTTAAAACCTGAACTGGCAAATTTTCGGTCTGTTGGTGCAGCCCAGGGAAGAGACTGTGCCTTGAAATTTCCTTCCTACCTCCCATCTCTTTCGGGGGAACTCTTCTGCTGTGGCATTTTGGTGTTGTGTCTGTGGAGCTGTCCTTTAGCAGGTCTGGAAATGTGGGAGGCTGCTGCAGTTTCAGGATTCTTTTAATTTGGGGCTCTTGGACAGGGAACAACCTATTCCAGGGCACAGCAGAGAGAGGACAAGGAATATTACCAGGCCCTTGTGAGGGATGAATCTTTGCCTTCCAGGCCCTTGTGAGGGATGAATCTTTGCCTTCCCTGGGAGGGTGGGCAGGCCCTGGTAAAGGTTTTCCAGGATCCCTGGCAGTGCCCTGGATCCCTGAAAGTGTCCAAGGCCAGGTTGGACACTGGGGCTTGGAGCAGCCTGGCACAGTGGAAGGTGTCCCTGCCATGGTAGGGGTGACACTGGATGGTTTTAAGTTCCATTCCAACCCAAACCATTCCATGATTCTGTCACAGTTGTTATTCCCACTGCATCCCACACATAAACCAGCCCCTGTGCAGGATCTGGGGTCTCCTGGGCATGGCAGAGCCATGGTGAGTGTGGAGAGCTGAGTGCCTTGGGCCATTTCTGCCCTTGGACAGGTAACTCTGACCTTCAGACACCCTGGAAGTCCTGGCCCTGCTCCTCCAGCCCAAACCCACCCGCTGGAGCTCCAAGGAGGGATGGTGGAGCCCTGGCTGTCCCCATCCTTGTGACCTCCAGGGGAGGAGGAGCTGTCAGCCCTGGGAATTGCTCCCAGGAGCAGGAGGAGCTGTCCAGGTAAGCTGAGCAGGGGGTGGGATGGGGACGTGTCTCCAACTCTGGAGCAGAGATCCCAAATACCTCTGGCACAGCAATTTGTGGCAGGGAAACTCATTCTGACAGCGTGCAGGTGAAATCTAAGGGGAGGTGTGCTTGAGAGGGAGAGGTGTACTGATTTCAGAACAGACTTTGGCCATGTTTTAAATCCATGTCTTATCCAGGGAGAGGCTTGGTGTGGGGAATGGAGCCTCTTCCCTAAGGAGCATGCACTTGCTGAAGGGTTTCCCTTTGGAGGCTGCTCACATTTACCTCCCCTGACAGCAGTGCTGGGTTTGGGCTGGCCTGAAGAGCAGTTGCATGTACAGTCCTTCCCAGCCCTACCCCTCCCAGCCCCCACATTTCCTCCCGTTGTTCTTTTTCAGATCACTTGAAGGTTTTTTCCTGTTTATTATCCGGACATGCTGCGCTCTGTGTGTTGATTTGACTGTCACATAAGGAATCTCCTACTGGGATCATGGATGCACTCCTTTCTTACATAAATACATATCTGTGGCAATGGTTCAGGGCTGTGGAAGAGAAATGTTGGTGATTAAACCAAAGCTGTAATGAGCTACAGTTGTTAATGAGGGCTAAGTTTAATTACCCTTTCCCAGAAAACCTGCAACAGTGTGATGAGTACAGTCACAAACAAAAATTCTCCTTAATTGACATAACAGGAAAAGTACTTCAGTGAGCAATTATGCTGATGTCCTGGGCTGGCACATGTGTGTCCCACAAATATATCTTGTACTTCCTGCAAACTTCTTTTAAGTAGCTATAAGGAAGACATTATTTTTTTTTCTTTTCATTTTTTTTTCCAGCAGTTGGCGAAAACTAATCACTGACTTGGAGGCTCTTTTTGAGGAAAACAATGGGACAAAACAATGCCTTTTTGTGAGACCTGCCAAAGCACAAAGGATGCATGGGATGTTTTTTTTCTTTGTTGCTTTTGTCAGCAGGAAGTTTTGTTGTTGGGAACGACTATAACATGCACTGTCCTTGCTCTACGTAATCTCTGTCTGGTGCTGTGAGCCGGGTCCTGCTCTGTGCCTCCTCCAGCTGGCACGGGCAGGGCTCTGCCTCACCCCGGGGGCTCTGCCCAGCCCTGGTGCCCGCACTCTCCCTCTCCATCCTGACTGATGCCCAGTAAACAAACCCAGGAGTCGGGTGCTCCAGTGATTGCTGGGGTTGTGCAGGTCAGGGCCCACATTTAGAATGCTGACTTTGTGAATTACTTTCTTTTTTTATATATATTTTTTTTCCTTCCCTCAGCTTAAAATGTGGGAGTGCTGTCCAGTGCAGGCAGCTTCAGAGTGTTGCACCCAGGTGTAAATATTCCAGACCTCGCCTTTGATGTGCTCAGGTCTGCTTTGTTTCCCTCTAGGTTGGTTGTAGGTCCGTCACAAAGAGCCAGATCCGACTGAGTAAATCACTTGTGGAAGTTAATTGTTCCCAGTGAAAGCTTGTCTGGCTCATTCTGCCTCTGTCGCAGGAAGGGACAGAGGTGGTGAGCTGGATCCGCGTTCTGAACCCAGCGACTTTAATTCTGATCAGATGTCTCTCTTCAGGGCATTAAAGAAAACCTGCTCACTAATCAAAAAGAGCCTCTTCTCTAGAGAAAAGTAAGGAAAAAAATATATTTAATGCCTTTTACAGAAATAAAGTACTGATATCAAATTTCAGCTTTGACAAATTTATTTTGCAGGCTACCATAAAAGAAACCTACTTCTCCGTACTTGGCAGGAACCAGAATCAAAGAATGATTTTTTTTTTTTTCCTGGAAAAAAAAAATTATCAAATTATTTGTGATGTCAGATACTGTACGGTGGTAACTTTATATTCCAGCTGTTTTTATTCACTGCTGCTGTGTTTAGATGCTGCTTGTGCTTCTCTCCATCAACATTTTCAAATACTCCTCGGGGTCGTCTCTGGCTTCATTAAGCAGCAGCTTTCTTTCCTTCTCTCCCCAGGACTGAAGCAGTGAGGATGGAGCCCACCAAGATCAACATGTCCCGCGTGCCCCTGGTCGGCGGCGGCCTCGACAGCGCCATGCTCAAGGCGCACAAACCCCGCGTGATGTCCAAGAGCGGCCACAGCAACGTCAGGATAGACAAAGTCGACGGCATCTACCTGCTCTACCTGCAGGATCTGTGGACCACAGTCATAGACATGAAGTGGAGGTACAAACTCACCCTGTTTGCTGCTACCTTTGTCATGACCTGGTTCCTCTTTGGGGTGATCTACTACGCCATCGCCTTCCTTCATGGCGACTTGGAGATGAACAAGTTCTCCCCGAAGCGGGAGCCGTGCGTGAAGAATGTGGATTCCCTGACTGGGGCGTTCCTCTTCTCCCTGGAGTCCCAGACAACCATTGGCTATGGATTTCGTTTCATCACCGAGGAGTGTCCCCATGCCATTTTCTTGCTCGTGGCCCAGCTGGTCATCACCACCCTGATTGAGATCTTCATCACGGGTACCTTCCTGGCCAAGATCGCCAGGCCGAAGAAAAGGGCAGAGACGATTAAATTCAGCCACTGTGCTGTCATCACCAAGCACAACGGGGAGCTTTGCCTGGTCATCAGAGTGGCAAACATGAGGAAGAGCCTCCTGATACAGTGTCAGCTCTCTGGGAAGCTTCTTCAGACCTACGAAACCAAAGAAGGGGAGAGGATTCTGCTGAACCAAGCCAGTGTCAAATTCAATGTTGACTCCTCTTCGGAGAGTCCATTTCTCATTTTGCCTTTAACCTTCTATCACATTTTGGATGAAAGCAGCCCTCTGAGAGACCTCACACCTCAAAACCTCAAGGAGAAGGACTTTGAGCTCGTGGTGCTCCTGAATGCCACGGTGGAGTCCACCAGTGCTGTCTGCCAGAGCAGGACTTCCTACGTCCCCGAGGAGATCCACTGGGGCTATGAGTTCGTGCCTGTGGTTTCCCTCTCTCCAAATGGAAAGTACGTGGCGGATTTCAGTCAGTTTGAGAAGATCAGGAGAAGCACAGATTCTACTTTTTACAGCATGGACTCTGAAAAGCAAAAGCTGGAGGAGAAATACAGGCAGGAGGACCAAAGAGAGAGGGAATTGAGAACAATGTTGTTACAGCAGAGTAATGTTTGATTGGATGGAAAAACTATTCTGAATAATCCTTTTTCTGCAAACTGAAAAAACCACATATTTTCTGTGCTGTATGTCTGCTGTGAAACCAGAAGTGAAGCCCTTTTCAGGATTATTTCCTTTTCAGTCCTATTTCAGCAAATAGCTTTGGTGTACAGTAAATCTACCCCTTTGGCTGAGTTGTTAATCAAGTACTTTGTAATTAGGCAGGATTTCTTTGTTCCCGATCGTGACTTAGCAAAATTGGGTTTGTGTTAAACCTCTGCCTGATGCCACCACTGAAAGCAGACACGCCACTTTCCGTTTGGAAAGTGAAACTGGACTCAGTGTGCTGATTCCCTCAAATATTTATTTGATGTGGTTTTACTGTGAACATGCAGGGACAGCACACAGCACTGCTAGAGGAAAGCGTGCTCCTTTGAAATATGTACCTTTAAAATGTATATTCTCCTACCAGGGATCACCTGCGTGGGGATTCCTGGCACTGAAAGTAAGTTGATTGAAGAGACAGATGGTTGGATGTGGGAAGAGCTCCAGGGAGGGGTTAAACTCCTGAAATCTTGAAGGAATGTGACAGAGCAGTGCTGGGTGGTGGGGATGAACACTCGCTCTCTGTCTCTGCTGCTCAGAGCTTGTTCTGTGATTGTTTTAGGATCACTCCTAAAACAATCCTTTTTTTAACCTTGCTAACGCCTGATTTATATCTGATAGCAAAAAGGGGAGATGAGGGCAAGACACACACATGATCACAACAGTAATCACCTAGTGTTATAGCTGGCTTTGAGACACCTGGTTTTTATCCAGTGTAAATAGTTTGTAACAGCAGCATAACAATACAATTCTACAGATTGCTTGCTTTGCTCTGGACCGTATTTAATTTTGGTTAAAAGAAAGCTCTGTAATGTCTGTAGACAATATTTACTTTTTCTGGCAGCCATAAAGGACAAGCATTCCTTTCATCCAAATCAATTTTGGTCTACTAAAACCATTCCATTAATAAATGAATTTAATTTGAGCAGTTCCTGATCTCTTTGTGGCACGGGGAGAGGGTGAAGTACCCTGGAGATGTTGAAAGAGCTGAGTGCTTGAAGGATGCATTTGGCTCTGGCACAGAGCCCTGGGAATTCTGCAGGTCACTGCAGTAGCCAGAGGACAGGTGACAAACCAGTGGTGTCCACGTAGCATCTCTGTTATAGAGGCTTTTTTAGTGGGAATTTGAAATTATTTCTGACTCATATCACTTTGGCAGCTCTCTGAGTTCTAGAGATTCTGCTCCTCTGAAGCTTTGGCAAGGAAAAGCTGTTTTAAATGGGTCTGGCCTGAGAGCCACCAAGGCTGACAATGATGAGAAGATGGGGGGTTGGAGCCAGATGATCTTTAAGGTCCTTTTCAACCCCAAGCCTTCTGTGTTTCTGTGACTTTTGGCACCATATCACTCTATTTTTTTTTTTACCAGTAGTGTGCTGAGCTTCCTGGCACAGCATGGCCTGGTGGAATGCAGTGCTGCAGTCTGCCATACAATGTTCTATAAAGCAAATAAATCCAGCAGGCTGAGCACAGAGGTGGCACCAGGAGTGGATGTCAGGAAGAGAGGAGCACACACTGCAGGGGCCTGTGGGGTGTTTGTGGGTGGGGCAGGATGGTGGTGGTGAGGAGGGGCATGAGGCACTTACAACTGCTCATTTACCTAAATTTTTAGCTCTCCCGTGGGGAAAAATGTACACAGAATAATGGAATGGTTTGGGTTGGAAGTGATCATCTTCCACTGTTCCAGGTTGCTCCAAGCCTCATCCAAGCTGGCCTTGGACTCTTCCAGGGATCCAGGGGCAGCCACAGCTTCTGTGGGCAGCCTGGGCAACATCCAGGTACTTGTTTGAAAAGATAAACCTCAATCCAGAGAGTTTCTCTACCCCTACAGAGTGAACAAGTTCTCTCAAACCTGTGGGCAGGGTCTGCCTGGCATTTGTGGAAAGAATTTCCAGGTTCTTTTATGCTGGGTGATAACACAGGTTTGCAGACCCATGTAGAGGATCTAGGTGTTTAAATGATGGATTATTAATTTCAAATTTTCCAGCACTTTTCCTGATGTCTTGTTTCATCACACACATAAATTGTGTGTGCTCCAAGAATTTTTGCAGTCACTTCATCGATCTGAGGTTTGTGTCCCACAACTCAAAGATGCTTTGGGATGAAAGTGCACAGGTGTCTTAACTGTTCATCTGCCAAGCCCTAATACCCATGTTTTGATAATCAAACAAGGACTTCTATTATTTTTTATACAGATAAGGACTCAGATAATTCCTAAAATAATTGTCACAGCTGGGTATTGGCTATAAAACAGCTTCACCTAAAGCAAATGAGCTGGTTCTTCTCAGAAACATCTGATGGTGACCTGATCCCTTTGTACACCAATCCCAAAGTTCAGTCACTGTGTTCCAGTCATCAGATTATCCTGGAAGGAAAAAGCATCCTTAAAGCATGTTAAAGCAAAATCTTTGAAAAGAAAGAAAAAAAGAACCACAAAAACGGATTTCTCTGGGCTTTTGGTTCTACAAGGAGAAGAGAAGAGAGGAGAGAGGGAAGGGAAGGGAAGGGAAGGGAAGGGAAGGGAAGGGAAGGGAAGGGAAGGGAAGGGAAGGGAAGGGAACCAGCAGCAAATCACCACCTCTCACTGCTTGTGGCACCCTCAGCTCTGGGGATTTGCCTTGCCTGAGGAGGAGCAAGGTGGGGAGCCAAAATGTTAAACTTTGGTGAGCATCCCAAAGCTGCCTCACCCATAAGCAAGGACTCTGAATCTGAATTTCAAATTTCAGGGCCTAAAGAAAGTGGTGGAATCCCACTGCCCTGTGTGAACAAGAGTATGAATGTGTGTAAAAAGTAAATTCTCCATTCCAGACACATTTAAAAGTCAGACTTTTTAGAAATACAGTAATTTGCTTTTTAAAAATTTACTGAGGAATATGACATACTTACATTTCTTTTATTGATGAGCTATCAATGAGCAGAGCATTTTTAGAGTAGCTTTATTGTTTGGACTTTACAGCCCACAAATGAATGAGAACTTATTTCACCTCATGGACTGTCTCTGAATTATTTGCTTTGGCTTTGGCTTCAATAATTCATTGTTCCTTTTTTATTTTTTAAATGTATTTATTTTTTCTCTGTAGGTAGATGATTGAATGAGCATAGTTTCACTTCTGTTGCTTCCTTGCAGAAGATGAGTGTGCCAGAGTCAAATCCACCATCCCTCACTGATGTTTCACCTCATCTTCCAAAGGGATGACAATGCCTGTGGGAAGCCAAGGACTGACAGGGAAACAGAGTGGTCTCCAGTAAAACATGGTTCTTTAATTTTCTGACTGGAATTAGGAGGGAAAATAGCCATTAGGTGTAAAATATACTGGGGGAGGGGATGGAAAAACAGAGGAAAAAAACCCCAAACACATCCATGTGTGACTGAACATTTGCTACTTCCATAGCATGCCAGGTTAAAAAAAAATATAAAATAACCAAAACAAAACAAACAACAAAAATCAGTTCCCAGATTTGCTGATCATGGACTGTCTCTGAATTATTTGCTTTGGCTTTGGCTTCAATAATTCATTGTTCCTTTTTTATTTTTTTAATGTATTTATTTTTTCTCTGTAGGTAGGTGGTTGAATGAGCATAGTTTCACTTCTGTTGCTTCCTTGCAGAAGATGAGTGTGCCAGAGTCAAATCCACCATCCCTCACTGATGTTTCACCTCATCTTCCAAAGGGATGACAATGCCTGTGGGAAGCCAAGGACTGACAGGGAAACAGAGTGGTCTCCAGTAAAACATGGTTCTTTAATTTTCTGACTGGAATTAGGAGGGAAAATAGCCATTAGGTGTAAAATATACTGGGGGAGGGGATGGAAAAACAGAGGAAAAAAACCCCAAACACATCCATGTGTGACTGAACATTTGCTACTTCCATAGCATGCCAGGTTAAAAAAAATATAAAATAACCAAAACAAAACAAACAACAAAAATCACTTCCCAGATTTGCTGAGATGACTCAAAGCCCTGGGAAAAGTGAATGCAATAACTGTATTTGAGCAAATGTTCCTGATGCTTTGAGACTGTGTTTGCTCAGTGTCAGCCTGATGACAGCCTGAGCTCCTGAGGGAACAGGTAAGACTCTGTGATGGCTCTGACAAATCCATCACGGGAGGAGTTTCAAAAAGCTCAGTGTGTGCTCCAGCTCTTGTTTATCCATTGTTTTTGTCCTGCTTGGCTGTGTCCTGCTCGCCCTCCTGGTGCTGGGATTATGTGAATAATGTGAATAATCCTGGTGCTAGGATTATGTGAATAATGTGAATAATCCTAGTGTTGGAATTATGTGAGTAATGGGAATAATCCTGGTGCTGGGATTATGTGAATAATCCTGGTGCTGGAATTATGTGGATAATGTGAATAATCCTGGTGCTGGGATTATGTGCATAATGGGAATAATCCTGGTGCTGGGATTATGTGAATAATATGAATAATGCTGGTGCTGGAATTATGTGAATAATGGGAATATTCCTGGTGCTGGGATTATGTGAATAATGTGAATAATCCTGGTGCTGAGGTTATGTGAATAATCCTGGTGCTGGGATTATGTGAATAATATGAATAATGCTGGTGCTGGAATTATGTGAATAATGGGAATATTCCTGGTGCTGGGATTATGTGAATAATAGGATCTTCCCCTGCCTTGGCTGCTCAGCCTCCAGCAGAAACTCTCTGAAATTATGAGATTACCAGAACAGAGCCCTTTCAGTGCCAAAGGTGCTGCTTGGACATCCTGTACCTCTGTGGCCTGACAGGAGCATTTCCCATGGAAAGGGGGTGTCACACGTTCCCATTCAAGGCTGCTTTGTCCTGTGTCAGCACGTGGCACAGAGGGAAGGGAATTCCACCAGCAGCACAGCTTGCAGGGGCTTTTTGCATCTCCTCCCAACATTTTGCTTTTTAGACACATTCATGCTCTTGTGCACACAGGAAAATGGGGTTTCACTCTTCTTTAGACCCTGAAATTTTAAATTCCTCAGTGCTGGCTGTGCACCTCAGCAGATCATAGAATTGATGATTTAATTCCTTCTCTACCATTCCCTGGGAACATTTACCCACACAAACCATGAAGTTATGGCTGGCACTAATTACACTGGGAGGAGGAAAGTGTTTAAGGAAACGTGAGTACAAAAGACATCTTGCCATCAATTATTCCCTGTGGACAAAACCCATCCCTGCTCTACCTGTCTGCTCTGCTCTGCCCAAATCAGCATCCTCAGGAGCAGTGCACAATGGAGCAATTCCTGGCACTCCAGCTGAAATCCAAGTGTCTGACAGGCTCTGAGGGAACCCAAACCAGCTCGTGGAGGTTTGTTGGTGCTGAGATCCTGCACTGTGGAGATGCTCTGATGGTTTTCATGCAGAAAAAATGTCCAATGGGTGCAGCAATATGAAACTTTCTTTGGCCACCCTCCCTGGATAGCTACTCTTTTGGGATCACACCAGCCTCAGACTGAAATGTGGAGTTTTTATACATTAAAAAGGACTCAACAGAGGTCAGATGGCTCCAGGACTCATTACTGGCTTTTGCAGTACAAACTGTCCACTCCTATAGACCAATTTCAATGTTTTTTCCCTTCTCCTGCCCATATTAAGCATCTAATTATCCAATGTTGGTTAGAATCATAATTTATTTATCTTTCCTTTGCTGCAAAGATGTATACTTGAACCATGAGCAGAGTATGATTTCACTTAACAACTGTGGTTAAGCAACAATCTTCAAGTTAGGTAATTGTTATTCATTCTTTACGGGATGAAATGGGTAAAATGGTCTGAGAAATGTACCCTTTGCTGTGCTCCAAAATAAGAAATATCTCAAAATAAATATCAAAGTCCAAAATCTGGGATGAATTAGGTGATTCATGCTAAATGACCGATCTCGACAGTTATTGGAAAAAAACCCCAGATGGTTATTTTCAGAAAAAAAAATTCCTAAAT